AACGCACGCCGCCGAACGCTGCGAAGCGTGACGTCACAGAACCGGTCGCAGCGCGAGTTTGCACCCTTTGCTACCGCGACGCCGCGGCCGCCCCGATCGCGAGCCGCACGCTGGCAAGGTCCTCGCGTCTCAGGGCTATCGCTGCACGCGAGTCCCACACCGAGACGAGGTCTAGGAGCAGAGCGATCGCGAAAAAAGAGCTCTCGAGCGCGGAGGGCAGAGAACCAAAGTATGAAAGTATATATGTTTATTGTTAATCGCTTCTCGCATCACCCCCCGAGTTCAAGCACGCCATATGTATTGTAAATCACTTTGGAGAGGAGCTCTAGACACCGAAGGCCTGACCAACGTACAACTCACCTCCCTTTCCGGCACGAACAAGACTGCCCGCGTTAGCTTCCGCCGCGCTGAAGCCGACATTCAACGCATGTTCTACAGTTGTAAACGGAATCAGCTCCCTGTAGCTGGCTCCCTGTATGTAGTGGGGCCCGATCGGCTATTCCTGTAGTCGCGGAGGTAGATCATCCCTTGCACCGCGTGCTCGGCACAGACCTCCCTCTCCTTCGACCCCTCCACGCGAACGATGGTATCTCATCACACCCCGGCTGGTTGCAATTTTTGGAGTACAAAGGTTGACCATCCCTTGCACCGCGTTCTCGGCACAGAGCTCCATCTTCTTCGACCCTAATGTGGCTGTACTTAACCGGAGTCATGAGAAGAGACTGGGGTGTTACTGCTGTTGGGTACGTGATGTCGGTGGCTGTCTTGTTGTGGTACGCTGAGTAATTCCGGATTTTAACTGCTACGCTGCGTAACTGGTCCGAAGAGCCTTGCCGACTCCTAGCGTATGAGTAACCCAGCGTACCTTTGTCGGACATTGGGCGCCTACGCTCCTGCTTCGCTCTCTGTCGACGTTGATGAACGGTGAGCACTACGCGGATCTCGCGAGCGATCTCGCCGCTTGGTTGGCAGGGTTTCCGAGGGGGGGGCACGCTTCCGTGGAGGCCTTGTTTTCCATGGATATTTCCTTTTTTTTTTTCTACGCACAACACTGCTGTTGCTGTGAACGGGAGGGAGAAAGGGATCTGCATAGCCGCCCATGGACGATGAAGACGTAGTCTGTTGCTCCTGTGTCTCGATGCTGGATGGATGGGGCCAGCCATAGCAGCACAGGAAGGGTGCTCCGAACTGTTGGCCGACGACATCGGGCGTCCGGCCTACTTGGAGGAAGAGCTCGCGCGGGACCCTATCTCTGGTGGACGATCGGTCCTGTGGTTGGAAGCAGGTTGTGCCGCATCATGTTCCTTGCTTCGGTCTGGTGTGGCACAGGTATCGCTGGCGCAAACACCGCAGAGGGATGGCACAGCCGAAGCTCACACCGAAACGTTTGATGATTTTCGCCCTGTCGGCGTCAGTGAAAGAGACGGTGGGCCCCGCAGGCTGTGGGTGCCTGTGACAGTCCTCGCGCTTCCAAGGAACAGCGGCAGCGTGCCGGACAAGAGCCAATCTTCGTCGCCGACTGGGCCGTCTCGTGGTATTTCCGCCGCAAGCGACAGGGAGAGACAAGAAGGAAGCGTCGCTGACACGCATCGCTGTTGCCCCGCTGCGTTGTCGCCCTGTCTCGCTGAGGCCCTGGGCTGTTGCCCAACAACGGCAGCAGCCGGAAAAATCGGTGGCAGCAGCGGCGGTACGCGGTTGTCGGTGCGCGAGCTTCCGACTGATTCTATCGCCCTTGCGTCCGTGGTTAAGCTCAGCGGCCCGTACCCAGTGTCGGCGTCCACCGGAAGGCCCGACTTATCCGCCAGAATCGACGACGGCCGAGCTTCTCTGGCCGCAGTGTCCTCGATTTTGCCTCATGCGCTGGAAGGAGAGGTACTTGCCGAGGGCTCTGTGTTCAGCGTGGCCGGTCTCTTCGCGCTGGTCGTTGTCGAGGTGTGCGCAGAAGGGCAGTGGCGGGTGCCGGCGGGAGAGGTGGGCAGCACTGGGGGTGTTGTTGTGGTGAGGGTGCACGGCGCCACCGAGCTGCGCCTGTTGCCGCCGACTCGATCGAGACGCGGCGGTGTCGCAGGCCCTGCCGAAAGCGTTGGCCCTCTTGCCGACGGTGCTGCTGCTGTGTCTTCCTCCGAGGATGCTGGTTCGGTGAACGCCCCTTGCAGTTGGCAGAGATCAACCGACGATAAAGGCGTCGCAGCAGCAGAAGTAGAACCCTCCAGCACCTCAGCCACCGCCGGTCTCTCCCCGGCGCTACAACCCTACCGCTCCCCCGATGCCAGGGAGTGGATCCGACTGGTGGAGCGAGACTTCGGCGGGCTCGGGGATGACGTCGCCACGGTTATTGCTGCCGTAGGCACGGTTTTGAGGGGAAGTGAGAAAAGCCGCGTCGGCGAGGACGCAGGGGGGGATGAGCTGACGGCGCCTGCTAGTGGCCTGTTGTGTCACGGACCGACCGGAGTAGGCAAGACCCTTCTCGCCAGGTACGCGTGGGGCGTGCCCTCGTAAAGTTCAAGCTGTGTCCCACCTGCCGATGTTTGGGTGTGTCTCATCTCGTTTACATGTGAATGGCGTTTCCCTTACCGTGTTTGGTGTTTGAAACCTGCTGCGGCTGCTGCTGCTGCTGCAGCCGCTAAGAGATAGGCGAAGATGTATAATGTTTGTTTCGTGAGGGGTGCATTTCGGGGAAACGGGTCCGCCCGTGTCCCCGGGTTTCGCGTATCTTCGCGCGTGGAGGGCCCTGCTTGGTGGCTGCTGGGCAACAGCGATTCGCACAGCCATGTCAGTCTTTGCTGACGGAGCGGTTGAAATCATCAGAGCAACCGAATCGTTTTTGTTGGTGCCTGAACAACCTGTTGTCTGCAAGGCACCCGCGCCTCTCGCCGGGTGTAGCGAAGTGGCTGCTGCTTATGCGACGACGCTGAGTATGTACGAACATGCCTTCGATCTAAACCATTTCCCGATCTGTCTCCAGATCGGTTGCGCGGCATTCTGGCGCACCATGGTTCTTCCTGGACTGTGCTTCCGTGTTCCGGCGTGACCGTGGCGAGGCGGAGCAGTACGTGCAGGTATGTACCTGCTGTCTAAGCGGCACAATCCGGTGGCATTGGCCGCTTCCAATGCTGCTTGTTTTTGACTTGTACCTTTTTTCTGGGGTTAGATTGTGACCGAGGAACCCGTTCCTGAGCCTATTTGGTGAGAAAGAAAGGGAAGGTACTGAGTAGAGTTCGGAACGGTGTCTAAAAGAGAGACAACTACGTTGATAATTGCATCCTTTCGTGCCATACCCGGGACCTAGCGCATCCAGTACCCGGCTGTCGCCGTTTTCGGGCAGGTAATATTTGGAAGCGGTTTCCCGACCGTTGTTGGCGATACAGCAGATGCGGCGAATCAAGCAGGCAAATGGCGGTTTCCCGGAGCGCCGGGCACGAAGCCGTGACTCTTTCTTTCTTTCTCTCTCTTGCCCTCTACCCACGCACAACGCACCGAGCAAGTAGGGAGCGTGACGATAACGGTTTATTTTCACGCCATGTGCGCCGGGCATACAAGACACCGCCCGTGGCATGTCTCACCCTGGTGTGACTTCTCGCACGAAGCAACGACACAATTCCGTGCCCCACTGCCGGCTTTTTCTTATCATCGCTGATCTAGCTGGCGGGTTGTGTTCGTTCCCCATCCCGTCCGCGCCTTCGGTAGCAGGAGTTTTTGGCCAGGGCTTGGGCGTGCTCGCCGTCCGTGGTTGTCCTGGACCAGGTCGAGTCTATCTGCAGGAGGCGCCCAGAGGCCGCGGGTATCACAGAGCTACAGGTAAACGGAAGCACGGACGCAGAGACGCACCGCTTACCGTAGAACTCGACCTCAGCTATCGTCACGTTGCTCGTGTGTTGTCCGAGTTGACCTCTTGTCACGTGTTTTCTGTGGGTATCCAGAGGAGACAGCCGGCTTACGTGAGAAAGCCATGTATCCCGAGAAGGATAGAGTGGCCGGTGAGGTTGATGATGCCGTACGGTCCCGTTGCGTTGTAGGAAAGGGGTTGAGTGATTAACGGGGAACGGCCGGATTAATCATGATGTTGTCCACACAAACATAATGCCCAGCCTCCACCCACCCACCCACCTCTGATCGCTGTGAACTTTTCCTCCCAAGGTGCTCTCCGTGCTCCTCGAGACGATGGACCGATTCCGCCGCCCGCCGTCGGCGCTCCGCGTGTTCTTCCTGGCCACCTGTCCAGACCCTGCCGCTCTCGACCCGTCCCTGCTCCAGCGGGGCCGCCTGGAGGCCGTACTGCAGCTGGGCGCATTGAACAGCGCCGCGCGCGCTTCCATCTTGGGCATCCACGCCCGGGACATGCTCCTCGAGGTGCTACCGTCGTCGCCGCCGCTGCCGTCACGGCCGCCGCCTGAACCGCCGGTTGCTGCTGCAACAGCGGGCGCCGCAATGCCACCGCATCCTCCTTACGAAGAGAAGACAGACGTCGTCGGCGATGAATCGCCGGTTCGATTGGAAAAACCAAACAGGGAGACGGCGGCGGCGGCGGCCGCCACGTCTGCATCTGCAGCTATCGCATTGACGCCTCCCGCGGTTCCACCACCGCGGACAAGGGACGAGTTTCTTGAGCTAGTCGCCGCGAGGTGCCACGGCTACCTGGGGTCCGACCTGGAGCGCTTGTGCCGCGAGGCGGCCATGAGCCACTTCTCGGCGGCCACCGCTGCCGGCGCCGTCGACGTGGTAAAGGGTGCTGGACGTCACGAAGCGGGTGGGGATTTGGCTGCTACCAGTGGATGTGGGGAGGGCGGAGGGGGCGACAAGGCCGGCGCGCCGGGAGTCCGATTGCGGGACTTTTGGGCGGCGTCGAGCGTCGTTCGGCCGGCGTCGCTGACCGGGCACTCTGCAGGGATGTGGGGGGGCGACGTCGGAAAAGAGGTGCGGCGATTGTGAACACCCCCCTACTTCCAGCGCCCATGATAGCGTCGTAAAGAGACCATATATAGGCCTGAAGAACACATCATGACGATCAATCAGTACCAGAGGAATTTATGTACTTGCCTTTTGGGCCATATCCGAGAGGTTGTGAAGCTGTGTGGGCTGCGTTGTGCGTCCACCTCCTGTATTTTCTGCTGCGTGCGAGCTGAGCCCCGTAGAAGCCCCGTGAAATGACCGCGCGGAGTTATTTTGCTTCCTCCTCCCTCCGCATCTTAAGAGAATCTCTGCCCTTGCCTCGGAATGACGTCACCCCCCCCTCCCCGCTCCATGCCTTTTTTTTCTGACAGCGAGGGAAGGCATCGGTAACCCCGCCGCTTGTCGGGTGCGACGCCGCCATGGCGGAGCTCCGAGCCTTCGTCCTAACGCCTCTGGCGAACCCCGATCTGCTGCGGGATCTGGGGCTGAAGGGCGCGACGGGCGCGCTCCTTCACGGTCCTCCCGGCTGTGGCAAGACGAGCGTGGCGCGAGCGCTCGCCGCGGAGGTGGAAGGCGTCGCCAACTTCTTGGAAGTGAGGTGCTCGGACCTCGTTGACAAGGTGACGTGGAAAAACGGCGGGAGCTGCTGGACGGGGCGGCGGCAGCGGCCACCTCGCCGTTGCTTGGATCGTTTGTCTTTGAATGCCGGGCCTTGGTGGCCATCACGCCTCTTTTTGCTTTCGAGAGATATCTCGGTTTGAGATAGTCTCGCTCTTGCTTGTGTGTGTGTGTGTGTGTGCCTGTCTCTCTCTATATATATATGCATGCCTTTCTCTTGTTCATGTCAACAAGCTAACCAACGGCAACCATGCTTGGACTGTTTCCGACGGACAGGTGGTCGGCCGGTCCGAGCGAAACGTGTCGGACCTTTTCGCGGCGGCAAGGGCTGCCGCTCCTTGTGTGCTCTTCCTTGACCAGGTACGCACGAACGTTAGCCTCGGCGATATGCATGGCAACGATACACACCTCTTCTCTCAGGATTCCACGATTGCCACCAAACGTGAACAGCGACCGATAATCTCGCATTATTTTTGAATGTTGTCGACACAACAAACATCGAAGATTTTGTGCCATGCAGGAAGGCACATGCAAGACCAGAACGCGCTGAGAACACCGCGATTGTGCCAAAAGTACTGAGTGAAGTATGAATAAAGAGGAGTTTGTGTGATGAAGAAGGCACCAGAACAAGGCTACGCTGAGAAAACTGCGCTTTCGTCACTTTTCAGGGACTGAGAATATGTCGCGCTAGTCACTTTCCAGCGGGGTGTTTGCTCGCCTTCGTCAGTCTGTCACCCGGTCGCCCCGGTGGTCTAGTGGTGTCCTCGTATTCCGCTAGTCGCAGAGGTCGTGAGTTCGAACCCCCATGGGGTGAAAATTTTACGAAATGTGCGGGTGAAAGCGAAATATAGCTGACAAGCTCTCGTGAGTACCAAACTTCGACGTTTGCACCGTTGACGAGGGAAAGGGACGGCTGGAACCTTCTCGCGATAAAAATAACATTCAGCACGCACCGCAGGAGGAAGGTGGGGCACGAAAAGAAATAAAAAAGAAGAAAAACGCCTTGGTGTTTACCCCTCCTGTGTGACCCTGGATGGTTGCAGTTGTACGAAAAAATACACTGAAAAGTGTAGTACTCTACATACGCTGAAAAGTGTGGTACACGTCTCACCAGGTGGGGCATGAAAAGAAATAAAAAAGAACAAAGCCCTGATGTTTACCCCTCCTGTGTGACCCTGGATGGTTGCAGTTGTACGAAAAAATACACTGAAAAGTGTAGTACTCTACATACGCTGAAAAGTGTGGTACACGTCTCACCAGGTGGGGCATGAAAAGAAATAAAAAAGAACAAAGCCCTGATGTTTACCCCTCCTGTGTGACCCTGGATGGTTGTAGTTGTACGAAAAAATACGCTGAAAAGTGTAGTACACGTCTCACCACGAAAAATGGGGGAACTGTCGCCATAATAAAAATGACGAAAACAACAACAACACCCGTTCACAGCACCACTTCATTCTCTTCAGCGCAGCCTGGCTGTTGTATCCTGGGCGTACATGTATGCGTCCATTCTGTTTGTTTTTTACTTAGTATGTGATAAGACATCGACGGCGCAACCTTCTTGACTAGTTAGTTATTATGCCAGTCTCGGTGCGGTTGAAAACGATGTGTTTGTGTGTGTGTTTTTTTACTATTCGCACCGGCCGAGCTAACCGGTTGACCAATGACAAGCCGTCAGTCTTAATGCGGCTGAAAACGTTTTTATGGCTTACTTTTGGTGGACAGGTCGAGGGAGTCGCTGCACGTCGAGGCTACCACTCTTCAACGGAGCAGACTTTCGATCGGATCCTCAGCACTCTCTTGGTAGAGATGGATGGGGTGAGTCAAAAGTGCGAATGTGTTGTGATGTTTCATATCGTTCCAGCTCGTTTTGATGTTTAGCGCCTCGCCCGTGTTCCGTCTCCCGCCTGGTCTCGCATGTTTTTCCTTACCAAAGAACTTCTTGATGTTGGTCGTACAAGTAGCGTACGACCTCACCAGCTATTCGCTGTAGCCCGCATGGTCGCGCGGCCGGTTCAGGTCATGTCGGAGTCTGTAAACTGTTGGCCGTACCAGCGGTAGCGTAAGACGTCTCCCGCCTGGTCTCACATGTTTTCCTTACCAAAGAACTTCTTGATGTTGGTCGTACAAGTAGCGTACGACCTCACCAGCTATTCGCTGTAGCCCGCATGGTCGCGCGGCTGGTTTAGGTCATGTCGGGGTCTGAAACTGTTGGCCGTACCAGCGGTAGCGTAAGACTTCACCAGCTAATATCTGGCTGTATCCCGGACTTTTATCACGAAACAGGTCATGTCGGAGTCTGGTGGGCACGTGGTCGTCCTGGCGGCCACCAACGACATCGACCGCCTGGACCCTGCGCTCCTCCGGCCGGGCCGGCTAGATCGCCGCGTGCACCTCGGCGTCCCGGACTCGGCCTCGCGCGCGGCCATCTTCCTCCAACGCCTGCGCGGCATGCCTTTGTGGATGGAGGAAGAGGTCGAGGGAGGTGGTGGCGGACGGGACGCAGACAGCGGAGGAGCCGCCTTGCAAGTGGGGGTTGGGCATGGTGAGGGGGGAGTCGTGGGTGGGCGCGGAGAGCTGGGTGCGAGTGGTGCCACCGATGCGGCGGCGGCGGCGGCGGCGGTGGCGGAGGTGGCGGAGGTAATCAACGACAGTGGCAATGCTGACGGCGGAAGTAGCTCTTGCGGCACGCCATTACAAAGCCGTCAGGACAGCGGCCAAGCAACCAGCGACCATGGGGCTGGAACTGGGGTGCCGCCGCGGCAACGATCGCCATCACAGCCACAGCCGCCGCAGATTCCGGCGCCTTTGCCACGCGCACGAAGACGGCGGGGATTGCTAGACAGCGCGGAGGCGTACGCGGAGTGGCTTGCCGACGAAACCGAGGGGAGCTCCGGCGCGCACGTGACGGGCGTGTGCCGCGAGGCGGCGCTCGCGGCCCTGAGGGAAGGCATTGAATCCACGGAGGTGGCGCCGAGGCACTTCGAGGCGGCCCTGGGCGATCGGCGAAGAGGGCGCGATGCTGTCGCCGGCGGTGGCGGGCAACCGCGGCCCCTGCGGTAGCGTATTTTTCCTCGCTTGATGACGCAGGCTCTGGTTGGCGGAGCCTTGTGTTGAGTTGGTGTAGCCTGTGCGGGGAGGATGGGCTTGGGTGTTGTTGCTTGGTACCCGGCAACGTCGTAGAGCCACATTCCTCGTGCAGACGACCAAGTGATTTCAATCTGGAAGGAGGGACGAACACTCCGTTCACTGTGGGCATGTGTTGCCCCTGAATAGTTGTGCTCGACGACGTTGCCCCGGAGATCTGCGAGAACGTTTAGGCGACAATGGCCGGCGATAGACTCAAGCGATACTGCATGGGCTGGGCGATCACGTAGTAGGAGAGGATGGCGACAAAAAATGCGAAACGCACGGAATATTGGTGCGGACGGCCATTAACTACGGCCTACCGCCTATATGTGGTACCTGCGCGCTCGCATCTTCCGATGCAGTAACAGGTGTATACAGGCTCAGTATCAGACCCCTCACGTTGCTGCAAGCCCCCCCAAATTCCAGATGAACTACAAGTGCCTATGATATCGATCCACCAGACAAGAGGCCTCTTCTTCTGAACGGGAGGACATGCTCAAAACACGAATAGACCCTCTGAGAGCGGCCGACGGGGGGCTGGTGGGTTACGGTGTCGCAAGAAAAGGAAAAATAAGCAAGATAATATTTTCGTGCGACCTCTTGTATTGTGTGAAATACAAGCCGAACGTAGTATTGTACTTCGAAAGACCAGATAACACGTGGCTCATACTGAGTGTGGCATTGAGACCCATTCACGTTGTTTTGGATTACAGGGTACCATGACGAAGGAGGGGTGGGTAGGGCCTCAGGGAGAGAAACCCTACTGTGACCACCGGTTGAAGTAAACGGTACGAGTGCTGTGAGTGTGAAGTTGTTTTGTTGTCTTGACATTAACAACCGTTCCGGTCTCCGCTCAGTACCTTCTAATGTCCATGCCGGTCTAACTGACGCGGACGCCTTTCGTGGTCACAGGCCAACTGCTCCAAGGGTTAAGTGTGAAGTGAAGACAAAAAAAAAAAAATGCACTGCTTCACTCACAATGCATGTGTTGCACGAGATACCACACCCCCTGGACCGGTTTCCAAAGCTCGATTAATTACTCAACGACGACGGCAAAAACGTTGAATGATGTGTTTTCAAATAGCTCTCGACGAGGCGATTCTAACGACGTGATTTCCGTCACCGTGTCGCTGTTTTTGCTGCAGAGTACTCGAGCTACAACTCTACGCTACGACTCGAGCTTTGAAACGGTTCAAGGGGGTGTGGTATCTAACGTCGCGCAGGTGGTGATCACCACCTGCGGTACCAACTCGACTCCCTCTTTGTGTCTGACACGGCGAGTTTCCCTTATAAATAGTGGCGCCAAAAAGTAGTTTTAGGACGATGGTCTTCTGGGCACTTGACTAGTCTAATGGAGCTAGCTCCGGTATATACAAGGCAGAGGTACAACAACTGCGGGGAAGGCGCGATGGTGGTCTAGTCTATAGGTCGGATGATAATAAAATGGTATGTACACATCCGGTAGTTCGGTAGTAGCCTGTGACCACGGGAGGCGTCCGCCTCAGTTGGAAAAATACGGGTGTTTTTGTATGTACACTGCTGTAGGTATCACACCAACAAATATGGTTCGCCCTTTGACCAAGGGGGTCGGCGCGGTCCTTCGGCGGACTTGATGAGTCGACTTGTTGGTGGACGAGGGCAACATACAATTATGAAGAAATTGTGTCATCGTACGTGCAGCGTGCATCAGGCGAGGCTCCTTCGCGATCTGTGCAACATGAACGCTACAGCAGTATATGCACAAGTAGTATCATGCCATCACGTTGCTTGAGCATCCGCCTTAGCGTGATGGCAAGGCCTTCGAGTACCTCGTCTTGCTCTTTTCCGACGGTAGCCATCTCTGCCAGTGCCGCACACTCCAAACTCTCGGGCTATTTTGTCGCCACGTGTGGGCGGCGATGATGTACAGCCCCCGATTCAGATTCCACGTAGGCCTCCTGCACGAGCACTGGCTGACGGAAAAGGCGAGGGGAACACCGCAGCAGGACTGGCCGGATGTCGCCCGCCCTCGATGGGT